TTCCTGGACGATTCTTGAGATTTTTTTTTAAGTACCGTCGTAGGCAACGCCAACACGAGCATTAATTGACGTCAGACGTTCCTTTTCGACCAGCAATTCCACGCCTTTGGAAATTTACGTCAGACGATGATTCGCCCACTATCTACCTGCTAGATCATCGAGATAGAGGGTTGTGAAAGGCACGTTGGGGGAAGCTTAGCCAGTCGGGCGAGACTTCCTGCTGGCAGTGCTGGGGGACGCTTGGCACACACGCTTCTCGGAACATTTGTAAATATTTACTGGGGACGAGGAGGGGTTCCCGTGGGAGTGGTTAGGGGAAGAGAGGCCAGGGAGGGGTGAAGGAGGAGGGTGTCCTTACCCCCGACACGTTTATACGCACACAAAAGGCTACACTGTGTGACCCCATCCTGTGTGTGGGATGGAGGAGTCACAGTCGACATCTAACACTTCGACATTTAACAATTTATTTTCGTTCACTCGCGCCCCCCCCCTTCCTCCTCTCTCCCCTTCTTCACGTCTAGAAGAACTGAGAAATGCAGAGACACCTGGTAGTTGTGGGATTAATAAATATGACAAGGACAGAACCAAACAGTGTGATGTAGTCGTGGCCAGAATTAAGCTAGGATACAGACTCATCCGGCAAGTTAGAGACGCTGTACCCATACCGGAACACTCAGCGTGTAAACTTTGTGAAAAACCTTTAAAGCATAGCACTTGAACATTGTATTATTGAATGACTTCAGGCCACCTAGCTTATTGTATCATGAACTATGTAATTACTACATTGAATCAGGGGTGCTTTAGGACATTCTTGCTGTTTATCCCAAATTTGCTGCTGGTCCACACTGGTTAGTCCTCAGATAGAATATGACTTGTACTGTATATCAACCACTGTCCTGTAGGACAGTGACCTCACCCACATGACTCTGACCTATGTATACTGTTAATGAATATGATGTATTTCTTTGTGTATGAACCTCTGTCCTGTGTCAAAACCTGACTGAATTACTCAGAATAGGCAAACTGTACTCCAAGCTTTGCCAATAAATTTGATAACCGTTAGTTATTATTATTATTTATTATTATTCATTATTATTATTATGTGGGTCACTGACCTGTGCACCTGGTGGGCTAATCCCGTAAAAAAAATCACACCCGTCCCTCCCTCCCTCCCTCCCTCCTTCTCATCTTCCTCTTCCTTTCCCTTCTCTGTCACTCCCCCTACTCCCTCCTTCGTCTTTCCCTCCCTGTCTCCTTTCCCATTCTCCTTCCCTTCCTCCCCATTTCCCCACCACCAAGATATCTTCCCTTCTTCCCCACCTCCGTCCTCCCCTCCTTCTCGACCTATCCTCTCCTCCCCCCCCCCCCATCTTAACCTACCTCCTTCTCCTCTTGAGCTGTTCGGTCGCCCGCATATCTTGTAGTCTTGTTTAACATCTTTATTGCCAGCAGGATATAAGGTCGTACACCAGAGGGGATAATAGAGGTCATATTCATTAGTGTTATATCATGAGAACTTATAACCCGGGACTAGCAAATTTAAGGATAAATTGCCCGAATATCTTTTATGTAGTAGTTACATAGTTCATGATGATATAAACCACATGCTAACGTTTTGTAATAGTCTATGATGTTTCAAGAGTATGTTTTAAAGGTTTATCACAAAGTTTACACCTTAAGTTTTCTGGTATGGGTACAGCATCACTAACTTGACAGATATGTCTACAGTATATGCTAGTCTAATGTTGGTTGACTACATCACATTGTCTAGTTCTGAGATGAGTGACATGCTCCATAGAGTATGTTGTGGAAGGTTGGAGAGATAATCAGAACTACATAGAATCTCAATTAAGTTAGAGCTGTGGTTTGGGAACTATTATTTTTCAAATGTCTGACACAAAACATTGCATTAAGTAGAGAATTCATCTCGTATAAAGAGGGCAGCCCGAGTGCTTTCTTCATGTTTACAGTTCTGTTAGATTTTTGGAATCCTAGGATGATGCGTATGTTCATTTTGTACGACCTCAAGGCTGTTTAGTTGTTTAAAAGGAAGAGTAACGCAAAGCATGATAGTCAACTATAGATCAATTGACGTGAATATAGAAGGTACGAGCTTAAACGATGTTTATACCATAGCTCTTACCAACAAGGGTTCTGAGAGGTTTGATTCGCTCTGGGAGTTTGGGGGACGGAGGTTGCAGATGAAGTTCGCATCAATAACATTAACCACAAGAAATTTATAGGAGCTACATGTTAATATTAAAGTTAAGAGGGTCATTGAGGAGCTTCGTCTTGTCAACAGAGATTGAGATCACATTCCACTGACCTCCGAGCGAATACATCCAGTAAACCTTGGAGTCTGGGTTTGGTTTGTGCCTTATTACAACTTCGGTCAATTGGATTAGAATGCCAACGATAAACTTGTGCATCAGTTTATTAAAGAGCACAGGCCTTAACACTTCTCCTTGAGGCATGCCAAGCTCAAATGCTCTCATTCTGGGACTTTTGACTCTCCTTAAATAGGACGCCAGCACACCTGTACCTTTTATCCATGTCAGGCTTAGCTTATTGCTGAAGAATAATGTCTATTAGCTACCCCAAAGGCTGATTTGAGGCCTATAAAAGCTGCTTGTTTTATCCTTCAAGTGAGCAAGATATTCTGAAAAACATGTGAGTGTGTGTGCTATACATGGGCATAAACCTATACAGATTAGGGGTCAATTTGTCCTTGACTTACCTGAGATGATTGAAAACTATTCTTTGAAGTACACACATACAAGATGTGAGTGAGATGGGCCTGAAGGTTTGAGGGTTAGTTATAGGGATTGGTACTGTGTCTCCTTGAGTCCATGTCTTTGGCAGAATACCTTGTGTGAGGCTCATTTGATACAGGTCAAGCAGTGGGTGGTTAGGGATCAGTCAATAATTTTTAGTTGTGTGTATAATTGACTCCAGTGGTGAGAATATTATGGCACTGAATGTTAGAGTATTTCAAATACTGGACATTGTTTGTTTAGTTCTGTACATAGAGGGTAACTTATTCACAACTGCGTGAGTACAGCAGTGTGAGGCAATGTGTCTGGCCGCACACTTTGTCATTCACACTTGCGTGAGAGGTATTCAAGCACATGGAAACTGATTTAGCTTCTGCGTGTAAAAAAAGTGGATACAGTCTTAGTATGCCAGCTATTTTGTCACTAGAGATAAAGTGTTGTGCCATTTCACACACAGTCGAGGACGTAGTGTTCAAGTGTGTGGCCATATGTCTGGCCCCAACTTTACATTTAGTCTTGTTCACATCTGCTCGAGGAACATACTGCCAGAGGTACTTATTTTCTAACTTAGTCTGGCGGTTTCAACATTTTGTAATCAAGTGATCTTGTTACTTGCTCAATATATATGTTTTACTTGATACATCTCATCATGGTAAACAATGAATCGACTAGTGCCTGCTTGCACTTGTCTGCTTGCGTCAAATTCATCAAGAAGTTTTCCTGATTAAAATTTTAAGGGTTCTTTTTGACAGATCCAGATTGTATTCACCAGTGTCTTTATTAGACTTTAGAGGGGCATCATCTCTGTCACGTTCTCTGAGGCCTACAGTATGTGAGAGGGGATCCACAACAGTATGGTCTTGGCACATCGGGGAGCGGAGGGGGTGGGGGGGGGGGTGGGTGTTTGTTTACGAGTGGACTGCTCCAGAACGTAAAGGACAATAGACTTTCTAACCCCGACCTCACGGATGAATCTTCGTTCACTGAGACGGGCCCTATCACCCAAGGGGCAAGCAGGCGGCCAGGCACTCAGCACTACCCCACGCCATGAGATCACTGGTAGCAGGGTTGTAATTGTCCACCCTAACCCAGTACAGTATCTCTCTTAAAAGATATCTATTGACCAGGTATTAATATTTTTTTTTATGCTGTACCATTAGGAACTTATATTTTATAATGTCACGCTGATAGAAATTACTATTGCGATAATTACATATTTTGCCGTGTGGGTTCTTTTGTTTCACCCCAACACCGCCATTACTGCACCGCTTCCACCCACTTATCAAATTACTGTACATCAACTCTATCGGCCCTGTCCGATACTCACTGGGGAAAAAAAAAAAGCCCGCATGTCGGAAAAACTCCAGAAATTGAAGACTGTAAAATGTCTCTCATTTGTCTCCCCCTCCCCTTCCTCACTACCTCACTATCTCCTATCCACCCTGTCTCTCGCTCCCTCACTGTCTCCCATCCACGCGGTAATAATAGACTTAGGTGATAATGGGAAGAAATTGGTTCTGGTGACCTTCGCCTGTTGTCTGCTGAAGAATTTGATGAGTATTGCTACGTATTGGTTTATTGTGAAACACGTCTTGTGAAGTGGTAATGTTAATGATGTCTCTTGATTAATTCTTCGCTGAGACTATATTAGACAAGTGCGCTTGATGACCTGAACGTGACTAATTTACTGTAGTAAAGATACTTGCTCATAGTTTCATCCTGCCTGGGATCGAACCCGGGTCCGTCCGCTTGTGAAGCAAATGTGTGTGTATTCTGTATACCTGCACTGTCTATGTTCATTGTATACCTGTTTGTTTACATGTTAATTATTGTGAATTTGTATGACAATTTTACAGAATGTATATCTATCTATCTCTATGGTGGATGGTAACTAAACGACCGTGGGGTTTCCCTCAGTATTTCCCACAACCTAGGCACGCCGCGACACCCTTCCTCTCAATGCCTCTGGATTGGTGTTGATATTGTGACGTCACAAGTGGGGCTGTCCTTTAGTTGGCTGTTCATTAGGAGTTTGGAATACCGTTGGAAAACCACTATTTAAAGGGTTATGGCCAGAATTTATGTCTCCCTTAATTTTATCAGAATAAGTGCTTACATTGACACGTTGACGCCATGAACTTACTTCTAAATGTGGATGTAGGAAGATTTATATTGAGGATGGTGGCGAGAACTGGTAACTGAAACACGCCTGATAAACGGAGGGCAGACTGCCTGGTTGAGAGGTGTTCACTGGCAGACGTGTTCTCGCTACAGGAAGGTGACGTTGTGTGTTTCACTTTCCCCTGTGTACCTTGACGCCCAATCACTTACCAAGGGTTTCGAGTAAGGCTGAAGGACAACATGAAGGTGATGCTGGTGTTGGCGGCGGTGCTCGCTTCCTGCCTTGCCATCCGTGAGTACTTCATCCCAGATTAAAAAAAAATTCTTAATGGATAGTATAATGAATCAAGTTGTGTCGCCTCACTGTCGGGGAAACAATAGGATACGTGGATATATTATTTTGTATAAAATTGGATTGTGTTGGAAGTTCGTTTGATATTGATGTACCATAAAAAGTTCATCTCTGGCTATCCTTGTCGACTTGACTAACTGTTTACTTCTTTGCATACCTACACTGTGTATGTGTATTGTTTGTTTACCTATATTATATGCACTGTGTGCCCACACTGTGCATTTTATACTCTTTATATTAACATTATATGACTACACTATGCTTACGTTGTAAACATGGACTGTCTGTACATTGTAGACTTGCTCTGTCTGTGTACATTGTTGTATACCTGCACTGTCTGTGTACATCACCACCAGCTCGCAATAAATCCCCCAACTCTCTTACAAGAATCTTAACCAGTGTGATGTGTGATGATAGGCCTAAACAGCAGACGATTACAAAGCCCAACCCTGGTTCAACCTATGAGTCACTCGGTCTAAACGGTAGACGGCTGGGTTGACAGTGTTCCATAGTCTGGCTGTGTTGTACGCAGCTCCCGGATCACCCTCCTGTGAAAGTCTTGTGTACAATCAGACAAAAGTCGTGTCGCGGTTTTGTCCAAAGATTAAATATAACTCGTGAAACTTTATGAGAGCCCCCTACCACAAGGCAGAGCGCACCAAAAGTTTAGCCCTTCGGCATAATTATGTGTTTCACCAAATTTCAGTGTGTGTGCGTTTTAATGGATTTTTTGTTCAGACAAAAAAGAATGCGTGTGAGCGGCTTATATTCCTCAATGGGATTAATTTCAGGTTATGTCTGTGTAAATTGGGGCGTAACAGGGATGAATCGTCCTCCCACTGGCGTAGTGTCTGAGATAGGATTTATGGTGAGTGTTTGTATTATCAATCCTTAAAGACTGATACATCGAGCTGACACCCAGTGACCAGTAGACTGAAATGGTGGCGAGTGTGGGACGCACACACACACTGTGTATGTATGGCAGAAACAAACTGGAGACGAGTGAGAGAGGAAGAGTGAGTGACAGGGAGCATACTAGTGGGTGTGTAATGTAAGGCGGGCGGGTGGATGGGAAGGGCCCACCCCTAGGATAGGTCAGCCGAGAGGGCCTGGACCACTGCCATGACCTTGGGGGACAACCAGTTCCCGCAGGGGCCGTAACCCGATGCTCATTCGGGGAAACTTCTTTCCTTTTACGTTTCAGTGTCATTTTGCGTCTCACTCCCGTGGAACCAAGACTGTGTACATGTTGATGTTAATGGTCTGATTTCAGATTTGCCCCACGAGGGGACTACTTTATTGGGCACTCCCTTGCATCCTGTGCAAGGTGAAGTGCAGAAGCGTTTATAGGGAAGCATGCGAAGTTCATGCTTACTTTCGTGACTCACACATTAAGTCCGTAAGTGCCTGAAGCGTGGCAGGTCCCTAATAATGTCAAGTACCAGGCCAGTCTCTAGAAGGAGGGATATTTGTTCAGAGAGGGTGGAGGTGGTCAGAGGGCAAGGAGGATGATGAGAGTCGGGTTGGCCACAAAGTTTACAAATAGTGCGGCCAGGTTCAGGGTTGCCATGGTACCTGTACTTTAGGTGCAGTCTCATGTACACAATCTATTGGAGCTGAGTCATAGATTGATATGCTTTGTAGTGGCAATTGTCATCACCGGTTAAAGCGTCATTGTTAGGGCCGGATTCAGGAGTGGGCAAAGTGGGCAGCTGCCCAGGGGCCTCCACAATCTGGGGGCCTCCAAATATTATAATTTTATTTATTTGTTTATTCATTTGGATTATTTTTATTTTCATTCTTTAAAATTCATGTTTATCTATTCCATCACGTAAAACTATGTTCAGCAAGAAGCGAGATAGAAATTAGGCTAGCTACTCCTTGATATTCATGAATAATGCAAAGAATCATCTCTGTAATAGCTAATAATATATTCTTTTCTGTGAAGTCTCTTGAAAATTTTTGACATCTGCGGTAGTAACTATATCGGCTGGTCGACTTGAAACCACATGAATGACTCCAGTCATGTCTCACTTTTGTGTGTGTGTGTGTGTTGGGAATTTGTACACTATCAATAAATATACAGTTAATTAAAATTTCTCAATGTTCTAATTTCCTCAATATAACTGCATATGGCTTCAAAATTCTCCAAAGAAGTGTTCAAGTTTCAAAATTTTCCCGGGGGGCTTACAGCGCCCCCCGGAACTCCCAGATGTTTAGGCTCGCTTCACTCGCCACCCCACCCTCTTGGGTAGTTATAATGAGGGGAGCCTCCACAAAGAGGCTGCCCATGGGCCTCCACAGGTCTAAATCCGGCACTGGACATAGTGGCGTAGTGTGGCACTTCCCCAATGTTTCAGGTGTGTCCAGTGTTCGTCGAATGCTTCTCGTTGTGCGGCGTGTATGAGAGATTTGAGATGGTTGAAGGAGATGGCGAGGGTGCCTTTAGTGTCCTCTTCTTGTGTCGCTTCTTTGCCAAGCCGATCTACAGTATCACAGGCAGTTTATTCCAAATAAACTTGACACGGATGTCATCAGTTTGTTTTAGCCCAGCGACGGCGGCAAGGGTGTGTTGAGGGGGAGGGGGTAATTTGAGCCTCGCTGGCGCAGCAGTGTTGTTACTGATGATAGGGAGGTTGAGGCTTTTAGGGCGGGCATAGGTCGCGAGGATGGCTATGCCCTCAGTGTTAGTGGAGGAGGCCCAGTCGTGGACCCTGGTTTTCCTGCCGGCCTGGCGCTCAGGGATCCACACGGCTGCACCAGCACCGCCCATTGTGGTAACAGGCCCATCACAGTAGAAAGTGAGGAGGGTGGGAGGTTGAATTGAATTGAATTGAAACATTTTATTTAGCCAGAAAAATAGATACAGAGTGGATAATAATAACAATATTAACATGCCTGAGCCAGTTGAGAACCTGAGCTCTCTTTGAGGCACCTGACATATACTATACATTTATCTCAATGAAGTATTATGTAACATTTAGTATCATCTGGAATAGTACAATAGCATGGTAGTAATAAGTACATCTCATAATGTTACCACGGTTATCATATATATATATATATATATATATATATATATATATATATATATATATATATATATATATATATATATATATATATATATATATATATATATATATAAATATATATATTTTACAGTGGAATTGAAATACATAAGTAAAATGGGGGAGCAGTACAACCTGGGCTGTACAGTAATAAGGTTGAAAAAGAGGACAGAGCTTTCAGGATTATGTCTAGTTGGCAATTATGTTTATTGCAATGGTAATTACTTATTTATTTACATGATAATTTCCCATAAAACGGTTTTGATGGTACAATAAAAGCAGGTACTGTTACAAGAAATATTGATACTTCGACAATAGATATTTTTTTAGAGATGATTTAAAGGAAGGGAGCGTAGTCTTTGCTCGGATGTGTGGGGGTAAGTTATTCCACACCTTCACACCGTGATATTTTATGGAGGTCTGGGACTGAGAGGAGCGCATGGGGGTGGTCTAAGTAGCTCTGGGTGCCTTAAGTTGTATCTCTGATTATTCCGGAACTGTAAATAATTATTGTAGTGCACAAGTGATTGATAGATTTGTAAACAAAGAGGGCACAGCAGTAAGTGTTAATATCCTCGAATTTTAAAAATTTCAATATAGCAAATTTTTCGTTTGTGTGATCTGGTTTTTTTTTCAAGTAGGTCATTGTCCGTACAACTCTCTTTTGTGCAGTAACCAGAGATTGTGTCTTTGAAGGGCCAGAGGCCCCCCATAGTGTGTGACAGTGTATCAGGTGTTGGTAAACAAGATCATGATCGATTTCTTTCATTGCTACGAGAGTGAGTGACTGTCGAGTGTGATACATGATACCACACTGTTTATTGATTTTACTGTGAATGGCTTCTCCATTTAAGTTTCTCATCAACAATAACTCCGAGGAATTTAGTATTTTGTTCGCGTTTGAGGACTATATTACCAAGGTACAGGGGGTTCAAGTCTGAAGGTAAGTTTTTTCTTCTGTGAAAGATCGTGTCATGGGTTTTCTCAAGGTTTAAGGTCAGTTTATTACGTATTACCCAGGTCCCAACTTTAGTTAATTCAGTGTTCATAGTTCTCATCAAGGAATGGAGGTCTGAGTTGCTGGCATAGAGATTACTATCGTCTGCAAATAAGTTGTATTTTATGAGTGAACTGGCGTGGACTATGTCGTTTATGTACAACAAAATCAGTACTGGACCGAGAATGGAACCTTGGGACTCCATACAAGATTGGCGAGGAGTCAGATTGGTGGTTGTGAGAGGCTTTTTCTTTTTTACTTTTATCCTCTTCACCACTGAACGGCTTGTTAGCCGCTTGGGCAGTCGGCCACGTCTCTGTTACGCATTGTTGGCAAGTACTGGGCATGAACTGGCTCCTGAATATATCATACCTGCTCCAGTGTTGGTCAAATCTGGCCTTGAAAGAGCTCGCACTCGGTGCCGTCATAACTCTGGCAGGTTATTCCAAGAGTTCACAACTCTCCCTCCGAAAATATTTGCCTTCACTGTTTTCTGGATTTGTGGCTTCTTCAACCATGAGTTGTGACCCCTTGTGGGGCTGACGTCCTCCAGCTCCAGGTGTGTACAGGTACAATCAAAGACAAAAGTCGTGTCGCGGTTTTGTCCGAAGATTAAATATAACTCGTGAAACATTATGAGAGCCTCCTACCACAAGGCAGAGCGCACCAAAAGTTTAGACCTTCGGCATATGTTTCCACCAAATTTTGCACTTCTGTCTTTCATTGTACATTCGACCGAGTAAGTGCCCTCTGAGATGTTTATACACTTCGATTAGGTCTCCCCTTGCCCGTCTGTAGTATAAGCTAGGTAGTTGCAGGTGTTCTAATTTCTCTGGGTAGCTGAGGTTCCGTAGAGCAGGCACCAGTCTGGT